GGGGCCCTGCCGGTCCAGACCCCTCCCCACCAGTCTCTCCTGTTACCTAACAGCTCCTGGGGGGCCCGGGGTGCTTCTGCCCCCAGCCCCACTCGGAGCAGGGGGCTGGCCTGGAGTGGGAGGCATCTCACACCCCCAGGAGGACAGGGACGTGGGACGAGGTGGCCTACCTGGCCCGGGGTCAGCAGGTTGTCCTCCCAGAGACAGGGGCGCGAGCTGCAGAGGGCGGGCGGCGCCAGGTGCGCGGTGTGGGGGCGGCGCCCAGTGCAGAGACGCCGGGCTCTGCCTCTCTCCCCTCCCCCTCCTCCCCCTGGCCGCCTCCCTCTCCCACTTCAAAGAGCGTCCAAGAGAGGGGGGTTCCCGGGAGGGGCGCAGCCCAGTGGCGGCTCCGCGGCCGGCAGCCGCCTTTATAGCTGTCAGGCAGACTGGGAGGAACTCACACTTCCCACCAGGCCGCTCCCCCGCCCGCCGCCGGCCGGCCTGGCGCACACTTTAACCCGCTCCGCGCCTCTGGAGCCCGGCCAGGCCGGCCCAGCTGCCTGCTGGCGGCTGCTGGTGGCGGCCCGGGAGCCGCAAGCAGGAGGCCGGCCTTCCCGGGTCCAGAACTGGGACTGCAGGCCGGGTGTCCCGACGGAGCCGCCGCTGGCCTGGGGTCACGGGGCATGATGGCTGCGGTGGCCGAGCTGAGCCCCAGCCCTCCCTGCCCGGATCCTGACATTCCAGAGAAGGGGGTCCCAGATGCTCCAGGCGGGCCCCAGATGGCTCCATTGGACAGAGGGAAGGACTGAAGTCTGGAGGGAAAGCCACGCTCCCGGGCCACCAGCCTCGGAAGGCTTCTCCCCAGAGGCAGGTGGAGGGGCTGAGGAGACCAGCAAGGGCGTGCTTGAGGGCTCCAGGGAGAGACAGATGTGCCACGGCCCTCTGACCAGACGGCTGTGCAGCCAGGGCCCGCAGGGAGAGGCGCGGGGAACTCTCTGCAGATGTTCAGCACCAGCTTGGCAGGGAGTAGGGCCCAGCTGGGCCTGGGCCAGCTGGGCAGCCCCTGGCAGGCCAGCCAGAGCTCCAGGCCTGCGTCTGCTGAGTGGGGCAGGGAGTGGGCGGGGTGGCTCGAGCCCCTCTGGGAAACCCCAGCAGACCCCGAATTTTGCAGGATGCCCCGGAAGCACGGCCAGGCACCCGCCCCCTGCACACCAGCCTCCCAGAGCCCACTCCCTGTAAAACAGAGTCACCTCCAAATGGGGGAGTGGGGGAGTGAGGGAGGGAGCCAGAGTAATGCTTGCTAAGGTCCTCTGAGTCTTTTCATCCATGTCCCTGCCTCCGTGAGGCAGTCACAGGCCCACGGCAAACTCTCCTTCTTCCCTCCGTCCTGACTGCCCAAAGGAACTGTGGTGGGTTCCCTCGGCTGCCTCCCTGGGGAAGCTCTGCCTTGTGTCTGACCACCGGAAAGATCAGGAAGGAGAGCAATCAAGAGTAATAGCACAAACCAAGCCCGCTACCCTTTACTGAGTTCATCCTCTGCACCAAGAGCTATGAGGTCACCGTCTTCACTATACCCATTTCACAGATGGGGAGACTGAGATTCGGTGGCTAAATGACTTGCCCAGCAGGCATTTGCTCTTATGTGTGGGATCCTCTCGTCTGCCAAGGTCTTGACAGTTAAGAGCTCCTCCTCCCCAGGGACTCCCCGGGCAGGTGGGCCTCTTACTTGTCTCACTCTCCTGCTGTGATGTGCCTTGGCCACCTGCTATGTGGAGGCAGCACTGCCCCTACCCACCACAATCCAGGTCTACACTGCTCCCTGGGGTCTGCGTGTTGAGGCACAGACATGGCCACCTGTCACCGTGGCCTGGACGCGCGTGTGCGCGCGCACACACACACGCACACATGTGCCCACGTGGTCCCTCTCACGTGCTCTGGGAGCCCTCATCGCCCAGCTCCCCTCCCCTCCAGCCACCCCCAGGCCCTGCACCCCTGGCACAGTGTTTGAGTCCTCCCAGCGCTTCCCACATCCAGCCAGTGCCAGGGTGACTAACGGTTTCCCTTGGGAGGGACCCCACAGGAGACAAACACAAACATCCCCCTCGTCTTCTCCTGGATCTGCAGAGCAGGGCGGGCTGCAGGCTGGCCACCTGGGAGACAGGCTGTGGGACCAGCCTCCCCGGCTCTGCAGCCTTCTGCAGGTGTGAAGCCTCCAGGCCCGGCTCCCTGGGCTGGCCACGACCCCCCATTTCTTTCCTCCAGGAGCCTCCAGACTCTAACGCTCGGGGAGCCGTGACCACTACCTGATCCACGGTAGCCAGCAGCCAGGGAAGGCCTTTGGGGGGTCCAAGACCCTTAGGAACTTGGGACAGAGGACAGTGAAGAAGAAATCACAGGCAGGAAGCCTCCCTCTGAAACCTCCGTCATGCCTGGGTGTATCCGTCCCGAGGAGAGGCAGTCAGCATGGGCCCTGGTCAGCAGGCCAGTGCCTCCTCCACAAGCCCTTAGGTGACCCTGCGCCTCGGTGCCCTGGGGACCCACCTCGTAGCATCCTGGCCAGGGTCAGAGGGCCGAGGAGCCGCCAGGGCCAGCTGCACCGATTTGGCCCGTGCAGTGGTAACATCCTGGCTCTCAGAAGGGGCCTACACTCGGGGCTTAAGTCTGCCCGTCACCATCTGGAAATCCTTCAAAATATTATCTTTGAATTTGTGTTTTGGAGATGAGACCGTGGAGTACGGGGCTCCACGGGGCTAGGAGCCTCATCTCATGCGAAATCCCACCTTCC